AAATGTCTTTATGAGTCTTGTGCATTGTCCTTTTTCTTTTTTCCTTGATTTTCCCTTGGAGCGGAAGCAGGAAACACTAACATGTAGGTAAATGTCAAGTCAGCCCAGTTGGTTGCATTTCTCTCTTATTTTTTGTTCAATGATTGTTTACATTTTGGCGTATTTTGACAACTAAATTGGTCGACGAAGGACTTCATCTCACTGCCCACCCAAGGCGACCCACCCAGCCAGCTCCTTTCTCCGTGCTCCCTATAAATTAGATGTCAACCGCCCGCTTTCCGATTTCAGTTGGCCACATGTTCGATTTCCGGCTGCCACCTTTTCATAACCCACAAAACTGTGGCCAGCACTTTTATGTGAACCGGACTGAACTGGGCCGTGGTGGCTGTGGACCGTCTCGAAGGTCGACCGGGCAATTACTTGGCCCGGCCGAATGCCCAGGACCAACTGCTGCAATTCCAGCTACCGCTTTTCCTCCACGTTTTTTCCTCGATTCGTCCTTGGCTTGTGCAATTTTCTTTGGGCACAACTGTCATTATGGACTTTGGTTTGGTGAGGCTACATTCAGGATTTGTTGCAATATATTTACCCGGGCGGCTGGGGAGGAGAAACCGCAACCTCCTTTCGGGTTCGGCATGCGGAAAGATATTTTCCAATACAAATTGGGTTAGTTGCGGAATTTCCGTATATTAAATATTATTTACCTCAGCTTTATCGCTTCAACTGAGTCAGTTTTGTAAGACCCAATTTTAAGTAAAGGGTGAAGTTATTACTATTAAATGAATGGTGAGTTTTTGAGTTAATTTAATTACTTTAGCTATGTACTTGTGGTTGAGGCAATATGCTTTTAATGTTTGGGTTGGCTAAGAATTTAACGAATATTTCTTTATTTGACAGATTGTTACTGCTTTTACTACTTTAAACATGTTAGAGCAATAAAAATATGTATATATTTAATCCTTAAAAAAAATGCTTCATCAATACCCTAATCACTTTTATGAAATCGTTTTCTTAAATTTCATATTATTTTGAATGTCTTATAATCCAAGTAGGCACTATTAAATTGGACTGTTTCTTTTGAAGTGCCAAAGAAAAAAGCAATGACAGCTACGACTTGATTTGTGTCAGCCAAATGCCATTATATTCCATTAGATATTTTTTTAGAAGTGTATTTAGAGATTAGGGTAGCATTAGCTACCCCACATTGCTCACCCCCATGACAGACACTTTTTATCCTGTTCGTATCTTTTGGATACGGATCCCCGACTAGTTGGACAGATAGCCCAGGAAAATTTTTAGCTTTAGTTTGCTGCTAATGAGCAATTCATGTCAATTGCTAATTAGTGCGCTGGAGATTCCTATCCGCCTGTCTGAGCTGCCTGAAATGCCTCACTGACTGACTTATCCGGCTATTCGGCCTGGCCATTTTTATGGCCCCAAAAAGCGAGACACAATGGCCGAGAAATTAGCAAACCCAAGGCAAGATAAGTCAATTAGGTTTGGCTTTATAGCTGCTGCTAGTGAAAACAAAAGGAGCATAGAAAGGCAGGCGAAGGCCGGCAAAGTCGAAGGAAAACCAAATCAAATAAAATGAGGCCAAAATAAAGGCAACAATTAATAAACGCAAACAGAGTGAAAGAGAAACGACAAACGAGGACGAGCCAAAGCTGGCAAAAAGGATAGCGGAGTGGGTGCTATCAGTGGGTGGGGATAAGAAGGATGGCATTGGGTGGGTGGATGGGTGGCCGTTGTGGGTGGAGGCTGCCTGTGACGTGTATGGGCAATTTAAGCTGACATCGGACAAGCATCTGACAGGAGGGAACCGAGCCCGATGCTCTTGTTACTGAGTCCTGCGGCCCCCAGAGACGCAATTGTTACATTTAATTGTGATTTTTGTGCTGGGTGGAGGGAGCGAGGTGCCCCCGCCTCACCTCTTCTTACATTGAAAACAAATTCAAGGTGTTCTTATCGCAGTTTATTTCGTATTGTAAGAGTAAGAGATTTGTATCAAATCGTATCATATTTTAAACATAGAAACATTAAATGAAAAAAATGAAAAATATAAACTTGTTTAAGCTCTTCAGGCTTTTTGTTAAAATACATAAACTATAACAACAAAAAACATAAAAAAGTAACGCGAATGCAATTAAATTTTTATTAATAAAACAATGTATGGTAGAATATACAAAACTAGCAAAAACAATATTTATTTAATTTAATGTTAAATGAGTTATATTTATATCTTAAATATTTCGAACAAATGGTGTTGACCATAAAAAAAGCTTTTTAAACTAACTAATCTTTTAATTCCAATGCAAAGCTGTACAAAAAAATGTTCATAAATTATATACAAAATTGAAATTCAAATAAGAAATAAGAAAATTTTTCCTTAAATGTCCTACAAGAGTCTTTTATGGCATGAATGAGATAAAAAACTGGCTACAACGTATGGTTTTTTTGAGTGCATCCGTAAAGCTGCTTGGGCGCCATAAAATATGCAACCTTTCTTTCTAGCTCTCCCCTTGGCTTTGAGTGAAAGTAATCCGAATGCTGTCATTAGGCCAAGTCCAGAGCACAGAGCCACAATTAAGATTGACTTGAAATCCGTCCAGACGTCAGGCTAATACCTCGGCAAGGACATCCACTATATCCAGCAAGCCAATCCAATCTCCAGACCGAGAGTTATGGCTTCGTCGAAAAGTGGACTCCGATTCTGCTCCGCTCTACCCCAGCCTCTGGTTTTATCTTGTGGGTCATTTCTCATAATTTTCCACAGCTCGAGAATTATTGCAAAAGTTAATATTAATGACGTTGATGAAAATCTTGTCATTCGTGTTACCAAAAAAGCGAAAGAAACCTTCGTTATGGGGCACATAAATAAAGGAGCTGCGACCAGGACCACGGACAAAAGCCAGAAGCGTTCGCCAAATTGATAACCACCGAAAAAAGAATAAGAGCGGAGAAGAAATATTCCTCCTTGGTTGCATGTGCCACCACCACACAAAGGAAAGCGGGCCGAAAAAACCTCGTCCTTGCCGCCATTTACATTTGAAAGAGCCTGCGAAAGCCTGAAGGTGAGGAAAATAAGGGGACACTGACAGAAAATAAACTATCAAAGACTAGAGAGAGTAATTTTGTCCACAAAACACATGAAATCCAAAAAATGAAATCCAAAAAAAGGTAAAATGCAATGATGTTTTTTTAATAAGAATGTTGTTTTTAAATTATCTGATATTCTTTAACCTATGTAAACAAAACCAATTTAAACTGCACAAAAGGACATGCGACCATAAAGATGATGAAGTACAACTAAAGTTCAGAAGTTTTCCGCCGTGCAGGAGGCTTATTAGACTTGGCTGCTGTTCGTGGCTCTGCTGCTGCTGCTGGTGATATAATTTTAATAACTTACATAATATATTCTTTTGTGTGGCCAAGCCACATAATTGTTAGAAACATTAGGCAAATCATTAGCCCAGCACGAAAGTGGGAGGCAGGCGTTCGGTTGGCTGACGCAATTTGGCAGAAATGTTTTTGTGTTTGCTTTTAGTGGCGACAAAAATATCTCTGCACCCACATTCCCATGGATATGGGAAAACTTTCTAGCCAGCTAAGGAATATTACTCACAGATAAAGTGCCCAGGCCAGCTGTTTTTCTTGGGAATTAGTCATGAAAGACGTAGAGTTTATCAAGGTTACTATGCCGTGGCAATCGCTTTTGAATTTGTTGGAGGTGATCCATCAATATTTTTGCTTTCAGACAAATATTGAACAATCAAAGTAATCCACGGCAGAGGTTAAAAAAATAAGGAACAAAGGAATCGTTTCCCCTATAAATTAAACCTTGCAAGATTTTCTTGATGGAAGATTGATTTACTTAAAGGAAGATATGGGTTTTCTCGAAGCTAGAACATGTAAGTGTTTTTAAAAATAAAAATTGTCACTATTTCAAGAATAGAGAATTTTTTAAATAGAGAATCATATTAATCTTACGAATCAGTGTTTTTTAATCAGTGTATTTTAATGTGGAAAAGAGAAGTTTTTTAAAATAACAAAGAGTCATATAATACAGAAAATTCAAATAATTTGCTATCCATTTTCAAAAATTTTAAAGCACATTTCACTTTTTTTCGCTCAAAGAGTCGAGTTCAACCATCTTCTAATCAAGTCTAACCGAAACCTTCCCCAACTTTTTATATTTCTAAGTAAAGAAATCCTCCCAAATCCCCAAACACATAGAGCCCAACAAAACTCCATAATGCTGGCCCATAATCATTATCATTAACCTGATGGGAAAGACAGTTTTTTGCTCTTTTGCTGGCGAAAAAGAAGTCATGAAACCACAGGAATTGCTACATGAGGCGCAAACAAAACAGTTTAATTAAAATTATTATTGTAATTTAATGGAATGTGAGGAATTATTATTTTTATATGGGCCCCCGAACAGGAGCAAAAACAGCCAAAGGACCTCTGGATCAGGATCCCGCACACACACACACACACAACATACACTCATGCACATGGCATAAAAATAAATTACGTTTGTATGAAGATTGGCGCTGGCCCATGCACATCATATATTTTCATTATCAAAACAGAGACAGCACCGAAGTCGCCGGTTGGCAGCGGGGGGTGCGGGGATATATCTCCGAATCGGCGGCAAAAAATAAAGGATATACGAAATACGAAATACGAAAAACAACATACGAAAAGGCAAGAAAAAATACGAACCAACGCCAGCTGTTTGATGCGATTAGATGCGAGCTGGAGAGAAAGAAAAACATTTTCCAGCATCCGCTGAGGCAGAGCGAATTTCCCTTTCGTCATGCTCCCAGAGTCAGCCGAGAATTTCCCGCCTGTGCAGAGCCTGTCGGCTCTCTTCGTCTTCCTTTTCCAGCCCACCTCGGCTCGAGTTCGGCTTTTCGGACTGTCGGGGTTTCGAGTTCGTGGCCGACTCTCTATTTAAAAGAGAAGTTGCGCACGTTGCGGCAGTCAGTCGAAAACCAGCCAACGTGCGCGTTACATTACGAACCGGAAAATATCGACGCTGCACCACAATCGAGTCCCAAACACACACACACACACACATGCACACGGGCCCAGAAAAAAGTGGGTTCAACCAAAAACCAAAAAAGTGATAATAGAATTCGCGCCCGCAGCTAAATTAAAATTCATCAAAGGTTCCTACAAGCGCGACGTGTAATAAAAAACCTTCGAAAGCGAAAAAGTTTTGAAAAGAAAATATTTAAAAGCGAATACGAATTGAAGAAATTTAAATATCAAATCCATGCAAGACACCTCACAAAGTGCTAGAAAATGTGCCGGGTTTAAGAGAGAAGCGGAAAACACGGAGAGCATAATTAACTAAAGAATCGGTGCGATATAAAGAAAATCTGGCTTGAAGTAGAGGGAGCACAGAAGCCGAAAATATGTGCGCAGACTTTTCTTTGGCCAGCCAGTGGAATTGATTTTCTTTTCGTTTCTCCCACAATCCCCGTGCAACTCCTTTTTCCCCCCACAACCTATTTCTGGTGCCTCGCCGAATAAAAACCAAAATGATCTACTACATGCTACTCGTACTGCCCGTTGTCCTGGCCCAGGATCAGCAGCACACCACGGAGTCGCTGTCCAGCAAGCACCAGCAGATATCGCACTCGAATGCGATAATGGGCGAGGCCGGGGTCTCCAACTCGCAGCTGATGCAGCCCCCGACCCCGGCGAGAACGCTGCGACCTTTGACCGCGGGCGGGGGTGGTGACCCATCGCTGTACGACGCCCCCGACGACTGCCACTTCATGCCAGCCGCTGGGCTGGACCAGCCGGAGATAGCCTTAACCTGCAACCTGCGGACCGTGAACAGCGAGTTCGACACCACCAACTTCAGTGTGATCCCCGCCGAGCACACGGTGGCCCTGCACATCCTGTGCAACGACGAGATCATGGCCAAAAGTCGCCTGGAGGCACAGTCCTTCGCCCACTTGGCCAGGCTCCAGCAGCTGTCCATCCAGTACTGCAAGCTGGGGCGACTGGGTCGCCAGGTCCTCGATGGCCTCGAACAGCTGAGGAACCTCACTCTGCGGACCCACAACATCCTGTGGCCCGCCCTGAACTTCGAGATCGAGGCGGATGCCTTCCTGGTCACCCGCAGGCTGGAGAGACTGGACCTCAGCTCGAATAACATCTGGTCCCTGCCGGACAACATATTCTGCACTCTGTCCGAGCTGTCTGCCCTGAATATGAGTGAGAACCGCCTGCAGGACGTGAACGAGCTCGGTTTCAGGGACCGCAGCAAGGAGCCACCAAGTGCCTCCACCGAGTCCTCATCCACAACCGAATCGGCCAAGAGGGGCAGCAGCTCCAGCACCAGCTGTTCCCTGGATCTGGAGTACCTAGATGTGAGCCACAACGATTTCGTGGTCCTGCCAGCCAATGGTTTCGGCACTTTGAGGAGGCTGCGTGTCCTGTCGGTCAATAACAATGGCATCTCCATGATAGCCGACAAGGCGCTCAGTGGACTGAAGAACCTGCAGATTCTGAACCTGAGTTCTAATAAAATCGTGGCCCTGCCCACAGAACTCTTTGCCGAGCAGGCGAAGATTATCCAAGAGGTCTACCTGCAAAACAACTCGATAAGTGTGCTGAATCCGCAACTATTCTCCAATCTGGATCAACTGCAGGCCCTGGACCTCTCCATGAACCAGATAACCTCCACTTGGATCGATAAGAACACCTTTGTGGGTCTGATTCGTTTGGTCCTGCTCAACTTGTCGCACAATAAGCTGACCAAACTGGAACCGGAGATCTTCAGCGATTTGTACACCCTGCAGATCCTGAATTTGCGTCACAATCAGCTGGAGAATATAGCAGCCGACACTTTTGCCCCCATGAACAATCTCCACACACTGCTTCTGTCGCACAACAAGCTGAAGTATCTGGATGCATATGCTCTGAACGGGCTGTATGTGCTGTCGCTCCTTTCGCTGGACAATAATGCCCTGATTGGCGTGCATCCGGACGCCTTCCGCAACTGCAGTGCCCTGCAGGACCTCAATTTGAATGGCAACCAGCTAAAGACGGTTCCGCTGGCCCTGAGAAACATGCGGCATCTGAGGACCGTGGATCTGGGCGAGAACATGATTACCGTGATGGAGGACAGTGCCTTCAAGGGTCTGGGAAATCTCTACGGTCTCCGCTTGATTGGCAACTATCTGGAGAATATCACGATGCATACTTTCAGGGATCTGCCCAGTCTGCAAATCCTGAATCTGGCCAGAAATCGCATTGCAGTCGTGGAACCAGGAGCCTTTGAGATGACCTCCAGCATCCAAGCTGTTCGATTGGATGGCAATGAGCTGAGTGACATCAATGGACTGTTCAGCAATATGCCTTCTCTTTTGTGGCTGAATATCTCTGATAACCGACTGGAGTCCTTTGATTATGGCCATGTTCCATCCACCTTGCAATGGCTGGATCTCCACAAAAACCGCCTGGGCTCTCTGTCCAATAGGTTTAACTTGGATGCCGAACTGAAACTGCAAACTCTGGACGTCAGTTTCAATCAACTGCAGCGCATTGGACCCAGTTCTATACCGAACTCGATAGAACTGCTGTTCCTGAACGACAACCTGATAACCACTGTGGATCCGGATACCTTTATGCACAAGACTAATCTGACGCGGGTGGATCTGTATGCCAATCAGATAACCACACTGGATATTAAGTCCTTGAGGATTCTGCCAGTCTGGGAACATCGGGCCCTGCCGGAGTTCTACATCGGAGGAAACCCCTTCACCTGCGACTGCAACATCGACTGGCTGCAGAAGATTAACCACATAACTTCGCGGCAATATCCCAGGATAATGGATCTGGAGACCATTTACTGCAAGTTGCTGAACAACAGGGAAAGGGCCTACATTCCCCTGATCGAGGCCGAACCCAAGCACTTTTTGTGCACCTACAAGACCCACTGCTTCGCCGTTTGCCATTGCTGTGAGTTCGATGCCTGCGACTGCGAGATGACCTGCCCCACCAACTGCACCTGCTTCCACGACCAGACCTGGTCCACCAACATCGTGGAGTGCTCCGGAGCTGCCTACTCCGAGATGCCCAGACGAGTGCCCATGGACACCACCGAGCTGTACATCGATGGCAACAACTTTGTGGAACTGGCGGGGCACTCGTTCCTGGGTCGCAAGAACCTGGCCGTTCTGTATGCCAACAACTCGAACGTGGCCCACATATACAACACCACCTTCAGTGGGCTCAAGCGCCTGTTGATCCTGCACCTGGAGGACAACCACATAGTCAGTCTGGAGGGCAACGAGTTCCACAACCTGGAGAATCTGAGGGAGCTGTACCTGCAGTCCAACAAGATAGCCAGCATTGCCAACGGCAGTTTCCAGATGCTGAGGAAACTGGAGGTCCTGCGCCTGGATGGCAATCGCCTGATGCACTTCGAGGTCTGGCAGCTGAGTGCCAATCCCTACCTGGTGGAGATCAGCCTGGCCGACAACCAGTGGAGCTGCGAGTGCGGCTACCTGGCGCGGTTCAGGAACTACCTGGGCCAGAGCTCGGAAAAGATCGTGGACGCCTCCAGAGTGAGCTGCATCTACAACAATGCCACCAGTGTGCTGAGGGAGAAGAACGGCACCAAGTGCACCCTGCGGGATGGCGTGGCCCACTACATGCACACCAACGAGATCGAGGGACTGCTGCCCCTGCTCCTGGTGGCCACCTGCGCCTTCGTGGCCTTCTTCGGCCTGATCTTCGGGCTGTTCTGCTACCGCCACGAGCTGAAGATGTGGGCCCACTCCACCAACTGCCTGATGAACTTCTGCTACAAGTCGCCGCGGTTCGTCGACCAGCTGGACAAGGAGCGGCCCAACGACGCCTACTTCGCCTACAGCCTGCAGGACGAGCACTTCGTGAACCAGATCCTGGCCCAGGCCCTGGAGAACGACATCGGGTACAGGCTGTGCCTGCACTACCGGGACGTGAACATCAATGCCTACATCACGGACGCCCTGATAGAGGCCGCCGAGAGCGCCAAGCAGTTCGTGCTGGTGCTGTCCAAGAACTTCCTGTACAACGAGTGGAGTCGCTTCGAGTACAAGAGCGCCCTGCACGAGCTGGTGAAGCGCAGGAAGCGGGTGGTGTTCATCCTGTACGGGGACCTGCCCCAGCGGGACATCGACATGGACATGCGTCACTACCTGCGGACGAGCACCTGCATCGAGTGGGACGACAAGAAGTTCTGGCAGAAGCTGCGCCTGGCCCTGCCCCTGCCGAATGGTCGGGGCAACAACAACAAGCGGGTCGTTTCCGGGTGTCTGTCGGCGCGCACTCCCGCGGTAAACATGTACGCCACCAGCCATGAGTATCAGGCCAACGGCAACGGTGGGGTGATACCGCCACCCACTGCCCGCTACGCGGACTGCGGCAGCAACAACTACGCCACCATCAACGAGTGCGGCGCCACGGCAGGTCGGGGGTACAAGCCCATTCCCACTTCTGCCTCGGCGGCGGCGGCGGCCTGCAAGTTCAACACCATGAACCAGCTGAGCAAGAAGCAGCAGCGCGACTTGAGTGCCGTGGGCATGGCCAAGACCCTGGAGCACCAGCACCACGGCCACCACGCCCACCAGGCGGCGAACCGGAGGAGCCAGCACGAGTACGCGGTGCCCAGCTACCTACCAAGTGCCGCTCCGGCCTACGACAGCGTGGACTACGCCAAGCAGCAGATCCGCGGCAACGCCAACTGCGAGTGCGTCAATCTGGGCACCGGCAAGAGGCCGCAGGCGAAGGGCGCCGCCGCGGGACTGCCCTCCAGCTTCAGCTCGAACTTTGTGCCCCCGGGAGGCGCCTCGTACAACTGCAAAAAGTCCTGCAACTGCATCGGCGACGAGGACCTGCTCTGCAGCTGCGGAGGGGGCGGTGGCATCGGGGTGAACCTGCTGGAGAGCGGCACCCAGAGCAGCGTCACCATGAGCAGCAGCAGCAACAACAGTCGCCAGCCGGAACTGACCCACTACGAGTCCAACCTGAGCCTGAACGACGACGACGAGGACGAGGATCAGGACCAGCAGAAGAACCTGTGGGCGTAACGGGGTTAAGTGAGGGGGTTAAGGAAACAAAAACTTAAAAACATAAAAACAGCAGGAGACAGACTGCGCAACCAGTGAATTTATAAAACTTAAACGAAAACTCTAAACTAAACATAAACTATAAATTAAAAAATATATATATAGAGAGGCAGGCAGTTAGCATACTTTTTGGGATGGTTCAAACAGACTGATACTTTTAGTTCTTTAAATAAATTAAAATTTATATCCCTGTAAATAGAGCCAGAGGAGATGAAAACTATACCTTAAAATGAGATTTCAATAATTTAACCATTGTAAAAAGAGTCACAAAGCGGTTTTTATATAAGGGCCTGTACATAATTATAAATAGAACATAAATCTTTAATTTATTTAAATTTACATAGCTACCACAGATATAAGAACAACCATGTTGAATAAAAATAAAATAAAATGTATGAGAAACAAAAATTCATGAAAAGTATCCCAATCATTTTCCACTTTCCCAGACTCTTCCCCACCCCTCACCACCTCCGCCATCAGATAGCCAGGAAAATTAATTAGCATGTAAGGAAATTGTACGATAAACATCAAACAATGCCATTGGTAAACATGTAAGAGGACAGGAACCGAGCAAAAATACGCACCCACAGAACACGTGAAAAATGCAGAAAACAATAAAAAGTCGTAATAATAACTGCGATGAAAACACACATACACGGAGAAAATATATACGCGTAATAATAATATTAATAGCTGACACTCAACGAATTGAAAATAAAATTATAGTAAATCATACCCACTCTCTCACATATTTCTGCCTGGAAATGCGATAATGATGAGCCGACCGCCCGATGAAGCTGCCGTTGATAACAATTAAGCTTCCAAACGAAACCCGATCGGAAAATATGAATAAAACGCAGTGCAGTTTCGGGCTTAATGGTTTCGCATTTTTTCATTTAAATAACACCAGTATTATTCCGCAAAAAAAGTAGGCTGGACTAGCGATTTATAGGACTGTCTGGAAAGCAATTACAATTTACAACGACTTTTCCATTATTTCCTTTTCAAATTAAACATTTTTTTCTACATTTTCCTTTTTGTATATTTCTCTTTAATCAACATCGAAACGCAAACATTTTTTTATATCGAACTATTCGTTTTTAGCTCATTGGATCGACTTTTTTAATTAATTATCAGTAACTATAAACGATAGTCTTTTTGAAAATACCATTTTATCCAACGATACGAAATCCTTGTTTCCTTCCTCGATTTGCACTTGATGGTAATTTCAAAAGTATGTTTGATATTAATGCGTACACATTTTTTATTTGAATGTTATTACTCGTTCCACACCAATTGGTTAAAGAAACTGTCAGAAAAAGGAAAATAAAACAAAACAAACAATCAATTGAGCATACTTTCAGGCTTTTTGCTGACATGTTGTTCGTCGCTCATACAAAGCATTTAATGAAATTATTTAATGGCATGCCATTAAAATAACAAAAGAGCAAATAAGAACAACAGCAATGTATGATTGAAAAGGGAGCAGAAACAGCGGCAATAATCGGGATGGAAGCTGTATTATTATTTTACATATTTTTTATTATGCAAACAACAAATAAAACATACATGAATAAATAATGTTTTCGCATGTCTGACTGCGAAATGTACATATATAAATACTTATATAAATGTATACAATAAAACAGAAGTTTCATGAACTAAATACAAAAAAATTGATCCCAGATGAATTTATTAAAAAATTAAAAACACAAAATCAACAGCAAAGCGAAAGGCCTACAACAATTGAGATACTACTAATAAATACTCAATAAGCATTATAATTATTAACTACGAAGCTGAACAAGCACCACAAAGGATGCATTAAAATTTTAGTTTAGTCTAAGTTGTGTACAGAGACTGTCAAAAATCCCCTGCAAAACCAAAATGAAGAAAAAGTTACTCGCAAAAGTTTTAGCTAAATTTAAATAAGCAAGAACATAAAATGGTAATAAATTGCCATTTAAAATACAATTTCACTTAAAACCAATTAAACCCAATTTTAAATCTCCATTTTATAACATTCACAAGATGAAAAACGAAATATTACATTTTAAAGTTTAAGCATTTCCAATCACGTTTACTCATTTTTTAATACATTTCAATCCCGATCACTCACAAAACACAAATGCAACGATGTTGGACAAGCAGAAAAAGTGACAGAATACCGATAAATATTGATAAAATACTTTATAAGATTTTTGTGTTCCTAAATGCCACTTATGCAAATTAATGTCGATTTCTATGTATACATAAATATATACAAAATATTATACTGCGGCAGAAAAAATATGTGAAATATATTTCTCATTTGACAATTTTTGTTCAATACAGACATGGCCCATTATTTAGTATGTAAGTGGAAATTTATTTTAAATAATCGCAAAACTAACTGAACAAGTGAAAGAAGAGAGGCGAAAAATAGACTCAATGGAGTTTAAAAAGAAACAAAACAATATGAAGTCAAGCAACAATAATAAACAAATTTATTTCAAAAATTGAAATCCTCACAAGCGTTTTCTTTCCGTGGTGGGAATTGGGATAGAATTAAATATTTAATTTGGGAATGCACATTTGGCCAACCAACCGAGAAATAAACGTGAAGTTTTGTTTTGAATTGAATTTTTTTAACTTAAATAATTGGTGTTTTATTTTCACAACATACCAAATACTTAAAATGGTTTAATTCGTTGTTCAACCATTTTCAATCTTGGGCTTTCGATTTGTTAACTATAAAATGCATTCAAGGGTATTCTTTTGTCTACGGTAGTTCTCATAATAAATCATATAAGTGCATGAGATGGTCATCAGTGCTATAATAATAATAAACCCCCGATAACTATATCCTCTCGCAAATGAAGTCTGCTCTCTGTCTACGAATCGCTTTTGTGTCTCTGTGGCGAGTGTGTTTGAATGCACTTTGAGTGCATTTCGCGTGCCACTTGATGCAACCGCAAGCAATTCATATTCATATGAAAACTGTTCAACAAACACACACCTGCACAGCGAGAAAAGTCCGGAAACACCAAGACTCATTGCGAGAAATCAACTCATATACTTTGAAATTGCAAATAAAAAGGTTTCACAATTTTTTTTAAAATACCATTAAAAGCTGTTGTTAAAGGAAATTATACAGTTAATTTTTGTAGAAATTGGTCAAATTACAGTAAAAAGTTAAAAGCCAACAGGTAAAGGAAATCTCTAGAAAATCTATAAAATGTATAAGCTATATGGGGTAATCGAATAGTTTATAATCGCAAAAGCTTACTATATTAAATTTTTTCTAAATTTATATTCTATTAAAATTGTACATTCCTTTTTTGTTTCAACATTGACAAATATCAAAATGGAGGGATATATTTGTTCACAGATCTTAAGAGAAATGGAACCTATTTTTCAGTGACTTTTTTTTCCTGTGCAGCCACACGCAATACGCAATGTTATCCCCACTTCCACGCCTTTCACCGTGTACTCGGCACCCGTTCCCTTTTATCCTTCCTGTCTGTCGAGGTGATGGCACGCACTTTTACGTTGAGTGGATGGAAAGGGGATACAGGAAACAGGATACAGGATAGGGGCAGGGGTCCTGACCACACCCATTTTGGCCTGGTTGGTGTGCTCCTCGCAACAGGACAACGTGAACTATGCAAGCAGCTCAGTGCGGGATTAAGAGACACACACACAAAATTTAATTTCATATAATTGCTTTTTCCAAAGTCCATTTAAATTATAATGCCTGCCGGGGGGCGGTGGGTCGGCGCTATAAAGGGGGTGTGGCATGGCGTTGATTCATATTTATGGCATACGCAGACACACGCAGATGAATCGGTATTCCTTTGATTTGTCGTCCCTGCATTCCTCGAACGCAATCGCTTTTGGCATTGCAGTTGCCATTAGACGGTATTTTCCATCATCGGCAATAATTAACGGGCATGGACGTGTATTTTTTGCCAGTTGATTTTTACGTTGTTTGTGTTTGCTTTACTTCAGTTTATTAATGCAATGCAATTAGTGAAAATTTGTCAGTTAATGGCAGGCAACAGCAACCAAATAAATAATCTGCCCTCCCACAGCGTGTCCCAATTTTAATGCATTTTAGCAATAAATAATAACACACACGCAGGGACAAACACATACGAACAAGAGATAGCGAATAAATTAATGCAATTTCTATGGCAAAAGCTCATTAATAAATTGCCGAAATTAAAAGCTTTTTATTTTATCAGCATAGAAATACAAAATTAAGTGCAATATTTGGGTGACACAAATTAAGTCAAACAAAACTGGGTCTCATACGCAAATAAACAGAACAAAACCCAAAAGCATGAGGGCGGTGGAAAAATTACAATTACCACTGAACAATCTCTTCAGCTAAGTTCTGCAATTACGCAATTAATTGCGGCTAGTTGGGAACTACATTTTAGTTGAACAAGTCCAACAAATTTTAAAAATAACCTAATCATCACTAAACTGAAGCCTCGAAATATTATTAAAGAAACTACTTCTGCCGACCAGAAACTAAACTATTTTATAGAGTGTCTCCGAAACTCCGGAAAATACCCGTCCTCCATGCCAATGTCACTTAATTATTTCGGTCTACTTCAAAATACCACTCAAATAACCTTGTCCACTCCTGTCTTCTTTACTCGAAGGTGCAAAAGTCATTCATTAATTTGATTTGAATCTCCTGCCGAGCTCGGCAATCTGATGAGGTCACAATGCGGCAAAACAAAAGTGGGGGTGTCACTATTTCCCAAGATCCTTGTGCCATTCTCACAATTTTGCCTTAGTTTCGGCACACTACGTATAAATCCGAAAGAGCTGAGCATAATTATGTCATGTGCTTATGTTTTATGCTTGCGTTTGCTTAATTGTGAATTATAACCTCATAATTTAGGCCGAGATAAAGGTGGGGTGCGGTTGTTGGGTTAACAACATTTTAATACTCCCACCCGGGGAGGCTATATATCAGCTGCCACGCCCCCTCGCCGCCCAAGGTCCTTTTGTGTTCTCAATAAAAATCTCATTCGCTGACGCATAACTTTTACTTTTAATTAGTTGTATTATCTCCCTTGTCGGTTGCTAATTGCTTTATTGCTCGACTTGTCTACTGCTTCCTTCAAATTTCGCCTCTCCGTGTTCGATATCAGTTTCGTTTTGTTTTCCTTCGCGTCCTGTCGCTTAATTTGAAATCTTTTTGTCGCAGTTTTATCAGCGCCACCACCCACCCGAGTCCCAACTTTGGCGCCCGCTTCGGTGTCCTTGCGGACAGTTATTGATTTTTAGTCGTCTTGGCTTTGGCTTTTTGGCTGCAAAATGAAAACCAAAATCTGCTGCCATCAAGTCAAGTCAGCTGCTGGCAATTCATAAAAGCCCCGAACACTCGCCTGACCTACATACTCGATGGCCATGTGTCTGTCTCCGGCTGCTATCGGTTGTTCTTGCTGCAAAAGGGGGCAACAGGGGGCATCAAGGGGTTAAAGGGCCGGCAGTTGGGAGTTAAGAGCGTCGGACTCAAAGTCTGGCTGTGGCAGTAGGGACAATGCGAATAAAGGGGCCACCAGCTTCTGGAGGAAAAAATGGCAAGCCAATGCCTTGCAGTGCTCTTTAAAAGTGATGGTAGAACAACAAGCAATATCAATCCGAAGTCAAAGAAATGAGAGAATTTTAATATTTAAAGAAGATAAGACGATGAAAGCAATCTTACTCCGGCTTACGTACTTGTCTCTTAATACAGACAATTTTATTTTAAAACTAAATGATTGAGATGACTCGAACATTCATTTGCATGAGTGTGCATACAAATTAATTAAGTCCATAAATAAACATATCTTTTGATTAGTTTTTATGTTTATGATGCCATTTAGGATTAGAATCGGTTAGTAAAAATATAAAATATATTTCTCTAAGTGTTAGATTAGAATATATAAATTATGTTTTTATAGCTTTGCAGATATTTTAAAAAACCTATTCGAAATGTTCGCTTAGCTATCAAGATTTATTAGGCAAATAAAAATGTTATGGACATAACATTTAATAATTGCGTTCAACAAAGAAAGTGTCCTGTTAGAATACATTTTAGAGAAGAGAACAAAAAAATATATTTGGAAATCGTTACCAATTTAAATTTAAATGTGTGCAAATTTTGTTTCCAAATTATAGTTTTAACAAAACTATGCTTTTGTATATGTTTTTATATATTCTATGCTATTTATATTCTTTTAAGTATTTATTAAATGTTTAAGATAAAAATATCTTTACAGTATACTATAGAATATGTAAAAACAGTAGAATATTCATAATTTAAATCACCATAAATCCCTTAGTTTGAAGTTGGATAGGGTATCGACCCCGAAAGTATGTTTGTTTAGCATTCTCTTTGGTAAATATATTCCGTAAGGTAACTTTTGCACCACATTTTACTAAACCACCCACACATATGGTCGTCGGTACCTTCGTGAGCCCCATAAAATAACCTCTTCCATGTACCATTTACAAGCGATTAGAACCCTTTTGTGTCTTGGGGTATATTAGCTAAATTATAAATTGTTGGGTCCCGGAATCCGAGGGACAGATAGGACCCGGACAATCGGTATCCGTATCCTTGTCTCGATGCTGTCATCGTCTTGGCCCGCGTCTCGTATTTTATTTTATCACCAATATTGCCCCCATTCCGGGTCAAAAAAAATAAGATTTTCGAGAGCAATTTCTTCCCTAGTTTTGGATGTCGCTTTTAGTTTTAGTTTTGTGTCTCGGGCATCCGTTTCTCCGTTTGTTTGTTTGTTTGTTTGTCAGTCTGTTTGCCAGTTTGTTGTTTGTCTGTTTACTTAGCTTTGCGTATGAGTGCGTTGTCGTCTCCAGCCACGCCCACACGCAAGGCGAGGGGCGTGGGGGGGCGGGGCGAAAGGAGGCAGGAAGAAGCAAAGCGGGCAGGGTACTCTCATTTCATTCACGAGCAATTTATTCGTCCATTAGAGCAAGGACGAGTGGAGCAGGACATGAGAGCCGTCCGCCGCTCGCCCTTCTAGGATTTCACTATGCGTGTGTGTTGGTGAGTGAGTGTGTGCTGCAAAGGCTGCCAAAATTATAGTGGCTGAGTCTGGAAATAAAGAAATAAAAAACTTTATTAACATTTATATAGTTTAATTAGTTAGATAGTTTTAAACAACATACAAATATATTATTCAATTAAATGTTTGAGTCTTTTCAATATATTATTATTTTAGGAACTATTTTTCAAATATTTGAAATAAATAATGAAAATTAAGAACCAATTTTCGTAGCTTGAGCTTACAGAAAATGTGGTTAAATTTTTAAATTAAAAGGTATCTAGAAATAATTATGAACTTAAATGACTAAACAAAATCGAGATCTTACTGATTAAATGGTAGGAAAAATTCTGTGACAGAATTTCTGCTCTGAAAAAATATAAGTATAATATCTCTAATATATGTCTAATACA